AAATACACAACAAATAATTTGCGTGGTAAAATGGAGAGAATGGGCAATAGCGTCTGAAAATGAAGAAGAAGAAAGAAAGATCAACCTAAATTGAGGACAAGTGGGTGCATCACTATAACCTGCAATTTTTTTTTGGCAGACGACATCGTTTTTGTTCGAGAGTGAAAAAAAATTGCTGTGAAATGGAAGAATCTACTGCTATTTTCTACAGTAGTGAAACATTGCCCTTATATATATATATATATATATATATATATACTGACTGTTCCTATATTGATTACAAGGAAGAAAGAGAATCAGTTTTGAGGGAAAATTTTTATTCACTTGGAGTGGATGCCTGTTTATGCATTGATTATGAGGAAGAAAGATGGTCAATTTTGAGATAACATTTTGATTTATTTCAAGTGAATTTGTGGTGTTTTTCAATTATAATATAATTAGAAAAGTAGTTTTTATCGTTGTTTTTACATGTGGGATAGCTCATTTCGAGTAAAGATTTAATTTTGGAGATTTTCCACTTAAGTATACGAGTAATACTACGAATTTAATGCGTTCGATTTCTTTAATCCATGTTGAGATATTGAACTTTGTAGAAATACAATCATCTAGCAGGGCAAAGAGTAGCGAAATAAGGAATAATGATCATCTCGCTAGACGAAAGACATTTTGAAAAGAGCAAAACAAATAAATGCTACTAAAATTTCGACTGGAGGGTGTGATGATTAGAGAGGCAATGAAATGACTACCTGTGACTCGATTGGTGAAATAGTATCTCTCTCTCCAAAAGCTTTTTTTTTTATCGACACTGAGGTCGACATTGATTGATCGTAAAAAATGACAAGGTGATAAAGTGATGAACCACTTATCATAAATAATAAACATTTATCTCGAAGGTAACACTAGGTGAATGTGAATAGTCCCCAAGTCCAAACATGAGTATTTATATAAGGCATAGACTTTGAGTAATATATGGGACTGGTGAAGTAAAGTCCTACTTTTCAAGGATGGGGCTCTTATGCATAGACAAAGTCCCATTTCAAGGATGATATTTTTTTGCAGAGGTGATAAATTTGAGTTGATAGCATGTTGCACATATGTGGTGGTGTTAGTGGACCAAGCCGGAGCTCGACTTATGACTCGTATGAGCCAAGCTCATGGATCATTTGTCAAGAGCTAAGCCAAGCTTGGTCTTTGAGCTTGTGGCTCGTGGGGTCGAGCCGAACTTGGACCACGAGCGCCTTTATTTTTTTGTTCTTTTATTATAAAAGAAAGTGAAAAACCCTCATCATTTTCTCCGGGCTTGGGATCGACTATTTATTTTCGAGTAAGTGGAGATAACATTGTACACGAACTACTTGTCGTGTGTACATTTTTTTTAATTAAAATATTATTAAGTAAATAAACAAAGTTTGATTATATGACGAACTTTAATATTATTTATCTGATTACACGCAGTTTCCTAAAACAAATGTTGTATTCGAAAATGTGTGTCTTGTCAAACCTTTACGCACATCAATACTTCAAGATATGTTATTTGAGTCGACTATTAACCTTGAAGAAAGTCCTTTTACTTGCATTAAAAATGGCATTAAATTGTACCTGGGGTCCATTATACTTGTCAAAGGAAATAATATAGGGCAAGTCTTCCCAATATTTTCTAAACTTCAATTCATAGAAAACAATATATTAGGAAAATCGAGATTATTTTTGTATTTTCGAAAACTTTTTGCAACTATGTAAAGAAGTTTAAAAACTCTAACTAGTGGGATAATATATCCCAGATAAGATATTTATGGAATCATAAAGTTAGTTCCAATCAGAATCAATCAAAACATCATCGATATTCCTTACATGCCTAGAGTTATAAAATTCAGTAATTAAATGTTCGCAAGTTTTACAAGATTTCAATAATAAGTAAGTGGTATTTTATGTATTCTTTTATTCAGTTATGAAATTTTTTGGATCTTGACCAACTTGTGCATAAAATTCTTCAAATACTTGTTTCCTACTTGGTGATATGATAACATAGACTAGTGCATCCCTAATTCTATCAATTTGATCCTTAATATGCCACATACCATCTTGCATAATTAAATTAAAAATATGACAAATACAACGAAAATGAAAATCACAATATCAGGATTAAGTATCCTATATAGTTTATTCATAACATACTTGTTAACACCAGTATTGTCAAACGTAAAAGAAAGAATTTTACTTTTATATTTATATTCCCAAATAATTCGTACGATGAAATTGAAAATATTATTAACATTATGAGGAAAGTCAATTATCTTAAAAGCAATAGTTTTTTTTATGCATCACTCAAAGTTGGTCTACGTAATGTGCAGTTGTTGCTATATAACCTTTTATTTATGCATTTCCATAAATCCGAAATCAACAATATAATACCACTATATTTATTTAAATCACTAGTCAATTGGTTCTAAGCTTTAAGAAAATAATCTATGGTATCACTATGAAGAGTGTTTCTTCTTACAACTTTGTACCTTGGTTAGAGATATTCATTAATGAATGTTGTGAAAAATTATCAGTGTCCACTATGCTTAGTAGTAACTTAGCATCAACAACAAACTTCAACATTCCATCACAAGTTCTTTCCTCTTAGTGTATTCATGTGCATTCATGTGCTTAGTGTTGAAGAATAGCTACCAGAAGCAGTACTAAAAGGTAGTTGTGTTTGAGATTGATCAACAAGCCCATGTTTGGTCGTATATTTAGCATAGTGACGGTTGAGTTGGATATTGATACCCTTTTCTAATGCGAATCGTGATTAGCGATATTTATACATTGCCTTACACTCTTGGACTCTGTCGATATCGGTTTTGGTTGTAATCAATTTAAAATGTTTCTAACACTTTGCAATTTTTTTTCCATTTGTCTTTCATTTCCATCATGCGTTGGAAATTAGTAGGTTTATTTTGATAGGATCTTCATCAATGTTATCCAAATTAATTGAATTACTACTTCCATAAGCATTGTCAATGTCCATTCCCGACTAATCGTCAATGATGGGGACATCATCGAGACCAACAAATTATTGAAAAATTGAGATTGTGATGTCATAGGTAAAGTGGTGGCTACCGAACAAGTCCTCAACGAAATCATGAGAATCCATGTGTATTATGTAATAGAATGTTGATTGTACTAGAGAATAAAAATGAAATGTATAAATTGGATAAAATTGAGGGAATGTATATAATAGAATTGCAATTTAAATGTAATAAAATTATAGAATGTATTTATATCATGTAATAATGAATGTAGGTGTAATTAATGTAGGTGTAATTGTGTATGTAATATAATTGCAAAGAGGAGAAGAATTGTAAAATAATAAAGGAATTATAGAATTGTAGATAGTAGAAGATATATTGTTGAATTTGTTGTAAGAAAAATGGTTTAGATTAGAGGCATTTATAGAGGAAAAAAATTCGAATACCGTTAGGTTTTTGTGGCCGTTTCAAGCGGTTGTTTGGCTCGACGAGCCACAAGCTTAGCTTGTGGGCATTGTAAACGAGCCTGGCTCTTGGACTCTTCTACCAAGCCAGCATGTTTGGCTTGTGCTCAAGCTCGTCTTACAATGAGCTCGAACTGCAATGAACCGAGCTTTTTCGAGTCGAGTCGAGTCGATGAGCCAACGAGCTACTCGGCTCGATTGCTACAAATAACCCTTGTTTGAGCCACATTATTATTTTCATAAAAATGCATCTTCGAATAGTATATTTATGAAAAATATATGGTTAAAAAATAAAGAAAAGTTTTGAATTTGTGTGTAAAATAATTTTATTGAAGAATGTGATTGAATTGATATCAAATAACTATTTTAGAATGTATTTTTTTTAAAAAAAGTGGCTCAAACAAAAACTCAGTGTATTATCAAGATTTGATTATAATCATTTTTTTCCCTATTAAGATGTTCAACTATGAGGATGGAGAAGTCTTCATCTTTTAATTCAATTAATTGTTCCTAGAAAGCAATAATGAGAATTGGATCATCGAATATGTAATAGGTTGAAAGGATGAGCAAGTGTGCACAATTAAAATCTTATGATTATAGATTCCAAATACAGGTATGCCTTTAAAGAGGTCTTATAATTTGTCAAAATCATTTTCCTCTACTATGCACTTCTCATCAATTTTGATAATCACTATACACCACTCGACACCAATTTCTCTCAACAAAAATTACACTACTCGTCTCCAACATATCGATCAAGTACAAAATTTGACATAATTTTGCATAGTATAAAATATATCAAGAATATCATCATTTTCAATGAGTAAAAACATTAAAATTTTTTATTCAACCGTCACTTAACATTCACACGACTAGCTCTATAAATTTAGATTTGGTTTTTCAACTTTGGTTAGTTGGTTTCATGTCGCAATTGACTATTCTAAGCTCTACTCAGCTGATTTAGTAATTATTAACTATATGCGCAGTATATATACAATTAGGTTTAATATAATGGATTCTAATTGTTGGCACATGTGTTCCTAACATCATTAGAAATTAAGTAGAGAATCGTTAGCATAATCAATGTAACAATTTAACTTATCTTTGAACGAGTTTTGTTCTTAAAGGTTAATTATGTTATTATAATTAGAAGACACTTTCTCCTTTTTAAATACTAGGAACTTACTTGCTATTTAAACAATAAGTTGAGAGCTAATGCTGCAATTTTCCCAAAAAGTATTTTTATTTCCCCGAGAAAAAATCTCTGACGCCCAAAATAATTATCTTCAAAATCAAGAAAAAGCGAATCTCTAAATCAATCGTAATCGCGAGAGTAGAAATAATAAAAGTATTCTCTCTTTAGGTGACCTGTCTGGGTGGAATCCAAACCTTATCAACAGAATGGTATTTCCGTAAATATTTAATGAAAATAAGGTTATAATATTATCATTCGCCTTTGAGAGGTCTTTGGACATGGAAACCAGAGATAAAGACATGTGCTGGATGTCAACGGTCAAGATTTCTCATATAGCTAACATCTACCGTCAGATCTTCTTCTGAGCATGGTTAAGATGTGGAAACCCTAGTTCACTACAGTCCCTTTCTCTGTTCTTCTCTTATCTCTCATGCTGAAATGAGAGTCTCGTAATCAGTTTTTGAGTGAGTAAATGCACACGCGACATAGAGAGAGAATTAGAGGCTTTGTATCTCTCTCTCTCTGATTAGTAATTATAATCGCTAGGGGGAATTTGCTTTACTTTTCATGGTGTTCTTATTGGTGAAATTTGATTCTTTGCTATAAATGCGATTTTAGCTTAGATTTTTCTCAGATCTGTCATTTTCCATTTCAATCTGTTATTGTATTTCCTGGTTTTTATCTCATTTTTTGCTGATCAACTCTTTATCATCACCTTTTGATTTTTGGATTATGATGATGATAGAGCTCCGAATTTTCTTTCATTTCCTTATACAATAATTTCTTCTTGAGAAAATTTATTTTCTTCTTTTGCCACTTTGTTTCTTTCAGGTCTATTCTGAAAGTCGACTAGAACCAAGAGAAGTTTATACTCTCCATTTGTATCTTCATTTTCGGCCAAAAATCTCTAGATCTAGCGTCCATCTTGTATATTTCAGCTTAGATGCAGCAAAAAAAGAGAAACTTTTTTTTTTGAACTTCAAAATCTGTACTTCTATCTTCCTTCACGCTCAATAAATTCTACATAGTATAGTAGTTGATAAGTAGCTTTCTGCGTATCTCACCCCAAAAAAGTCACTTATATTTTGGGGAAGAGCCGTGTTAGTTGAAGATCGGGTTAGCTAGGGTTAAAACAGCCCAGATGCGTTCATTTCAGAGTATGCTGAATTACTTCCCCGAGGAAGTATTAGAGCATATATTTGACTTTTTGACATCGCATCGGGACCGAAATGCGGTGTCTTTGGTGTGCAAGTCATGGTTTGCGGTCGAGAGATTAAGCAGAGAGAAGGTTTTCATAGGCAATTGCTATGCCATCAGCCCGGAGAGGTTGATTGCGAGGTTCCCTAGGGTTCGGTCGTTGACCCTCAAAGGGAAGCCCCATTTTGCGGACTTCAACTTGGTCCCCCACGATTGGGGCGGTTTCGTGCAGCCCTGGATCGAGTCCATGGTGAAAGACGGTGTGAATCTGGAGGAGCTCAGGTTGAAGAGGATGTTGGTTTCTGATGAAAGCCTCGAGCTGCTTTCAAAATTTTTTCCCAATTTCAAGTCTTTGGTTTTGGTCAGCTGTGATGGATTCAGCACGGATGGCCTTGCTGCCATTGCATCCAATTGCAGGTCTAGACTTATACTTCATGCTTTTAGATGTTCTTCCCTTGAATTTAGCCGCTCGAGTTTTTGTTTAGCTGTCATTTTGTCTGTATTTTCGCAATCAATACAGTTAGAATGATGTTTGGCTTTGTCTTGGAGCTTTTCTTGGTTTTGGCTACTTAATTCTGATCGTTGGTTGATCTTGTTGTTGAGGCTACTGTCTAAGTCATTCAATCCTTCTTCTGGTGCTTCCCTTCTGGTATTGGTCCCTGCACTGCTTTCACCCCAGGATAGCACTTAATTAGTCTTATTGTGCATTTCTCAATATAACATTGGAATTAATTTTTCCCTGTGAATATGAAGCCTTGTTTGCACTCTTTCAAGCTCCAGCACCAACATGGATTTGTTCTCACTGTTTGCCTCATCTATTGGCTGATAAAATCTAGATGCATCCAAAATTTACAAGATTTAACTAATCATTTTCCAAAAACTCCAAAATGTAAATGTAGACTTAATACCTGTTAAGTAATGGTTAACGGGTAATGACTAGCCTTTGGATCAACTGCCTTGTGACCTATCAATGCTTCATTAAAGTTCTGATTACTGAATTCCCTCGAGGTGAATGTAGATATTTTGGATGAGTATGATAGTTATTGATTTCTTGAGCTATTCCTTTTGATAGTGTTATGTTTGTTGAGAGTGCGGTCATTGTGACAGGTTTCTTAGGGAGCTGGACTTGCAAGAAAATGAAGTTGAGGATCGGAGGGGGCAGTGGCTTAGCTGCTTTCCTGACAGCTGCACTTCTCTCGTCTCTTTGAATTTTGCATGCCTCAAAGGAGAAGTTAATTTAGCGGCTCTCGAGAGATTGGTTGCAAGATGCCGTAATCTTAGGAGTCTGAGAGTTAACCATACAGTGCCTCTTGATGCTCTCCAGAGAATTTTATTGCAGGCTCCTCAACTGGTAGATTTAGGTACTGGGTCATTTGTCCACGATCCCGAGACATGTAACAAATTAGAAACTGGTATGCCGAAGTGTACCTCAATCACAAGCTTGTCAGGGTTCTTGGAGGTTGCTGCATGCTGCTTGCCTGCCGTTTACACAATTTGCAGTCACTTGACTTCGTTGAATCTGAGCTATGCTCCGGGGATCTTTAGTAAGGAGCTTGTAAAGTTGATTTGCCACTGCAACAAATTAGAGCGCCTATTGGTTTGATTCTCTTGAAACTTTTTGTTTAAGTTAAACATTTCTTGATTTTTTCTTGAAATAATGACTATTAAGAATGTATTTTACAGGTTTTAGATACCATTGGAGATGAAGGGCTCGGAGTTGTGGCCTTGACTTGTAAAGAACTGCAGGAACTGAGGGTCTTCCCATCTGATCCATATGGTGTTGGCAATGCAGTTGTAACTGAAGAAGGATTAGTTGCAATATCAGCTGGTTGTCGCAAACTTGATTCGATTCTCTATTTCTGTCAGCAGATGACCAATGCTGCACTCATTATGGTTGCCAAAAATTGCCCCAATTTCATTCGCTTCCGATTGTGCACGCTTAACCCAACTGTACCAGATGCTGTAACAATGCAGCCATTAGATGAAGGCTTTGGGGCAATTGTCAAGTCATGCAAGGGTCTTAAGCGACTGTCTGTCTCTGGCCTCCTGACTGATCTACTTTTCCATTACATTGGAAGGTATGCAGAGCAGCTTGAAATGCTTTCAATTGCCTTTGCTGGGAATAGTGACCAGGGAATGCTTTATGTGCTGAATGGATGCAAGAAGCTCAAGAAGCTGGAGATCAGAGATAGCCCCTTCGGTAATGAGGCACTTCTAGCGGACGTGGGGAAGTATGAAACAATGCGATCCCTTTGGATGTCGTCCTGTGAAGTGACCCTCGGAGCTTGCAAAACCCTTGCCCAGAAGATGCCGAGGCTCAATGTTGAGGTCATTAATGAAAGTGGTGGTGACCAAACGGAGGCTAGTGTTGATGATAAAGTAGAGAAAATGTACTTGTATCGGACATTGGTTGGGCCCCGGAAAGATGCACCTGATTTTGTATGGACATTGTAGATGGATCACCCGCCAATTCTTCTTTGTATCATTTAGCTGTATTTTGTTTAGATGGGGTTTGTGGTTAACTAGTACTTTATTCTATTAATTTAAACCTGTGTTATGTAACTTATGTTTATATTTTGACCCATTTTCAGTGCTGTCTTAAAATTCTTGCTCTGGCCTTGATATTTATTTGCTTGTGCGAAACAAATTTTAATTTCTGAAATGGCATTGCATTCCTTCATCGTTTCCCTTAGTTTAGGTTTGTAACTCAAATCAGGTTTTCATAAAAATTATGTTTTTAATAGATTTGATAAAAGTTATTGAGTTTTATTAAATGTGATTGAAATTGAGTTTGGGGGAATTGAGTTTTCCAGAAATAGATCCAAACTGGTTTGTCTCTGGATTAATTTGCACTGACGCAGCGGGGATTGTAGCCTAAAAGAAATGCCTTTGGAGTCGTCATTGCCACCTGCTGCACAGTATTCATTACAGTATAATGAACTTGATTATGATTTACTAAAGCTAGAACAGATGAACGGTATATGTAAAGCTTGCTGATGGTTTCATTTTTCCTTTTCCAAATCTTCTTCATGTGGGGATTATAGATGGGGTTTTCATAAAAATTATGTTTTTAATAGATTTGATAAAAGTTGATAAAAGTTATTGAGTTTTATTAAATGTGATTGAAATTGAGTTTGGGGAAATTGAGTTTTCCAGAAATAGATCCAAACTGGTTTGTCTCTGGATTAATTTGCACTGACGCAGCGGGGATTGTAGCCTAAAAGAAATGCCTTTGGAGTCGTCATTACCACCTGCTGCACGGTATTCATTACAGTATAATGAACTTGATTATGATTTACTAAAGCTAGAACAGATGAACGGTATATGTAAAGCTTGCTGATGGTTTCATTTTTCCTTTTCCAAATCTTCTTCATGTGGGGATTATAGATGCCAATTACATTCTCGAATGAGAATTAAAATTTCTTATCGAAATATTGATAATTATCTTGAGGCTAGGGAAAGTGTGTCACCGACACTCAAAAGCTAGACATCCACCATATGCTATTCAGCAGAATTTGTGACACTAATAATCTGTTTACTCTTATCATATGAGGATATCAATTAATTTACCCAATGTCCATTAGTCAAACTTGGAGGAAAATGGGTGTTGATCTTGTAGCAAAACTCAATCTGTATATTTAGGTAACTGCATGCTAAAGAACTTGCTCCAATAGCTAGAAAACCCAAACTCAAATAAACAAGAAAGCCTTGATCACCATGTTCCATTGTTGGTTCAAACAAAATATACATAAATCCGGTAAGAAATATCCTCCTACCAAGGAGATTGACATTAACCAAACACTTCTACACTTTGGCAAAGCAAGGACAAATATCATACCAATTTAAAATAGCACACAAATACTACTCAATTCTATAGTTAATAAACATCTTAGCATCACGAACGATCGAGGAACAAGTTGTGAAAAGCAGTATTTCCATCACCGAAACGATGAATTACTAGACACCATATAGAACCTTGAATGCTCAGAAGCAGCATTCTTCCAATATACAGCAGCAGCAAAGTGCAGCCAAACTGCATTGCACAACAGCCAAATTAATTATCTTTGCCACAACAATTCTCCAAAGACGAAAAAGAAGGCGAACACTATACAAGTTTCAACAGTCCACAATGGAGCAAAGATAGAAGTATGCCATCATATTATCTGTAGAACTCAACAAATTAAATCTATTATCAAGTAAAAATTGATGACATTTTTGAGTTGGATAGGGTGGGTCCGAGTCAAAGAGCAACAGTTCGAAATTTTAACGATGTCTTAAGAGTTTTGAGCTTATTCGGTGTTGTTAGCAAGCTTCTATATACAACACTCTTAATTTATAAGACTTGATGAACAGCCAACGGTATTGAGTTACAAATACATATCCACCAAATAATGTGGCATTCCATCATGATTATGCAGTTATCGAATTCTGAAGTTCAATCATAGGGAAAAAGAAAAGGAATCCTGGCTAATAAAGGTTGCTTCCAGAAGGCAGCACAAGAGCATCTATCCATAAATAGCACCAATTTGAAAGATGCCATCCCGACGTTCACCTAGAACATGATTTTCTCCAACTCCAGTAATGACTATATTTTTTAGTTACAATTTTGATCTCCTCTTAGACAGCACGACTAAAATACTTTTGTCTTGCATCAATCAATCCAGAAAATATTTATAAAAGCTATAGGATTTGACATCAGTGAGTGATTTGACTGATCAATTCAACCTTACTACAGAAAAAGTTTTCTTCTGAACAATTGATAGAGATTATCCAAGTGAAAATGCAAAGTAAATGTTATATAACCTGCTGTGCACAATTTGGTAAGACACAATATAGGCAGCATTGATGAATTCAGAATTCTAGGATATCAGTCAGCATAAATGCAGCAATTATGAACAGTATCTCATGTTTTATTGAGTTTGTCACAATCAACCAATTGGAACTTCGCATGTTATGCCATTGGTTTTACAGTATATACATTTAGTGAATCCATACTGGTTGCTTTTCACCTGAATTGCAGATTAGATCCTGAAACTTCAAAATCGAATAGGTGCATATACAATTTCAGTGATAGAAGACAGATGAATCATATAACAGTAAATTAGTAAAAGACACCATTACTTATCAATGATTATTAAGCTCATTGCTAATTTCTCGACAAATCACAAAAAATGACCCAAAAAAAAGCAAGTATTTGAAAGTTTAACACAAATTATACCAATATTTAATTCCTTTAATAATTGTAATGTTTTCACGTTGAGGACGCACAAAACCTCATCATAAGTCTTCAAATATAAATATCAAGGCAAATTCTTTTAAGTTGCCTTATTTTGATGGTGGAAATAAAGGACCCCTTTCAATTTTCATGTTTGAAGGCCCTCTTCTTAACTTAAAGGAAACTGAAATGTCAAATACACCATTTTTGAAGAAGAATTTTTTTCGATCAATATCTATTTACTAGCATTTTCTATTGGAATTTTCACATTTTCTCTTCTTTTTCCAAATTTAAGCACAACATACTTTGCTGCTTGTGTGTCTACGTGTCTCAATGATATCCACAGTGAGAGAAGGAAAGAAACCATATGCAGATCCACAATATGTTGGACATGCACTTGTTACTTGAATGGTGTAAACCTCTCGATCTACAATATCCTCTGTCAAACTGTGATATTTTCATTGAAAGGAATAACTCAACATGGCTGAATTTAGGATATTGACCTTATTCATTCAACCTGATAGGATCAAGTTGCAGTGCTCTAGGGGATGCCATATGTCTTCTGTTTTTCTTCTATCTTTCACTTCATTTGAATTTCACACCAAATTTACGTAAATACTTTGCATGTGCTCAACCGTATTTGCCACAGATTCATAACAAGAAAAAACGATCAGTGCCGGCCACCCTCCCTCACAATCCACATACCTCAGCTCAATCACCAACAGGCAACAATATTTTCATTCCTTTTGTCTATTATCCCATTACATACAGAATCTTAAACCGTTCTCCTATTCATTGAAACACACTTTAAAATATTTTAAGCAAGATGACATTTTTGGTTCAATAAATGCTTTATAAAAGAGTTTTTCATTTCCATTAGTTATCTCCTATAAATTAATTCATCAAATACAAATAGCAATGATTCATTGATTACTGCAGCAACAAAGGAAGTAATTGACGTACCAGCCTCGTAAAAAAGATGTACAACCAGTGTCGCCATCATTATGGTGATGCTCACAGTGGGGGACCTGGTATTGTGGGGGTGGAGGCGGTGGAGGGTACCCTTGATTGAAATATCCTTGATAACTGTCTCCAGGCCTTTGAGGTGGTGGATAATATCCCGGCGGTGGATATGGGTACCCCTCGTATGGCGGTTGTGGTGGTGCCGATGGGTACCCAGGTGGCGGATAAGTTCCGTACCCTAATTATACAGATCCGGAAATTAAAATAACCCAGAAATTCAACCACGAAATTCCATTTAAAACATAGCTCTGTACTTTTAATTATATAAATCGAGAAGTTAAAAATTAAAATCACTCGAGAAATTCCATATATACATAGTTCCGTACCCTAATTATACGAATCGAGAAATTAAAATAAATCCAGAAATTGAAGCAATAGATTTCATATATACAGGTCCGACCCTAATCATAAGAATCCAGAAATTCAAAGAAAAAATCTCATTTAAAAAATTAATTGGAGAAAAGAAAACGGACCTGGTGGAGGGTAAGGTTCTTGAGGCACCTTCTGGTAACTCATCTTCTCTTTATCTCCCCTGAAAATACTACTCGATCGATCAAAGGTTCGAAAAAGAGAGATTTTGTTGTATGTATGTAAATACTCCTCGTAATGAATGGATTATACAGTCTCTACAGTTGCTATGCTGTATCCAATCAGTTGATGCCACGTCTGAAAGGGTGGGCGCTTGGTTAATCACAAAAATTTTAAAAATGTCAAAAGTCAAGGTGGCCTAATATTTTAGGGAAAATTGCAATAGCGGTCCCCTAACCTTTTTATTTTTTGTAGATTTTTTCCTAACCTTCATTTTGTACCAACGGAGGTTCCTAACCTTTCATAAATATGCACTTGAGATCCATTTGAAAGGAAATCGTCCAAAACACTGTTAGTTAATTGGAAAAAATTAAAGAATCAACACCAATAAAATCGTCGCGGTAATAGATAGTTTAAGAAATTTTCCCAGTTAACTGATAGTGATTTGGACAGTTTCTGCCCAATTAGATCTCAGATGCATATTTATAAAAAGTTAAAGAATTTCGTTGGCATAAAATGAAGGTTAGGATAAAGTTTGTAAAAAATAAAAAAATTAGGGACTCCTGCTACAATTTTCTCATATTTTTATGGGAGGACTTGGCCAAACGGACGGGTTAGATAAAGAACTTGGATAAATGACATTTGATCAATATTAAAAAATAAAATTAAAAAATGATATATTTGTCCTTCAGCTAAAAGCAACATAATCACCCAAATTCCCCCATTTTCACCTCCTCCTTTTTTGATGAATTCTATTCCCCAAATTTGAAATTCCAATGTCTTCCTCTTCACCTCATTTTACTGTACATTTCAAGATTACAAAAACTTCTCCCTCAACTTTATTTCACATTAATTTGGTCCCATTTGGTACACATTAATATAAAAGTAACAATAAAAAATATAATTGTTACGGACCCCACACAAGAGATAGAAAGTCAAATATGATGACTTGATGTGATGGATAACGATCATATTTTTCATTTTAATGGACAAATAATGAAAAACAAACGGGGACTTCATCCTTTTTCTGAACAAATAGGTACAACTAAAAAAAAAAAGGGGTAATTGGCACAAAATGTCCCTACCTTTCAAGTGTATTGTGAAAAACATCCATACTTTTCATTTTTTGGCACAAAACATCCCTACATTCCACTTTCTTGGCGCTGAACGTCATTTTTTATCAATTTTTGACTATTTTACCCTCTATTCAAATAAAACAAAAAGAAAAGAAAGGAAAAAAACAAAAAACTAATTGCAACCACATTTCCAAATTTTCTAAAAATTGCAAATGGTAGCTTGATAATTACCATATTAAATAAATTGAAAAAAAAAATCAAAAAATTAAGAAAAAAATTTAAAAAATGGGTTGTCTTCTTCACCCCACCCCACCATACAAAATCTCTCTGCACAGCAAATCCTCCAAATCCGAAACCCCATTACATCTCTCTGCACTTCCCCTCTTTGTACAAGCTCCTTCATTTTCATATCCAGTATCAAACCCCATTGTGCAGAAAGATGTAATGGGGCTTCGAATTTGGAGGATTTGCTGTACAGAGAGATTTTGTATGGTGGTGTGGGATGGGGTGTGGTGTGGTGAAGAAGACAACCCATTTTTTTAAATTTTTTTTCTTAATTTTTTGATTTTTTTTAATTTATTTAATATGGTAATTATCAAGTTACCATTTGCAATTTTTAGAATTTTTAGGAACGTGGTTGCAATTAGTTTTTATTTTTTTTCCTTTCTTTTCTTTTTGTTTTATTTGAATGGAGGGTAAAATAGTCAAAAATTGATGAAAATGACGTTCAGCGCCAAGAAAGTGGAAGGTAGGGACATTTTGTGCCCAAAAAATTAAAGGTAAGGATGTTTTCTACAATACACTTGAAATGTAGGGACGTTTTGTATCAATTACCCAAAAAAAAAGTAAGTTTCCCCTCCATTTTTTCATTTTAAATGTGATTTTGCGCTTCCATTGGTGTAGGATAAGCATGACAAAGTGTAAAAAAATAAAAAATAAAAAAAATAAAAAAACATTATTTATGATTTCATCGTTTATCTTGGACACTAGAGATTATGCAATTTTTATATTATTGCTTAAGCCTTAAGACAGTCTGTACGAACTGATAAAACCCTACCACTTGCGCGGAAATAGATAAAGCGGAGCCTTAAACGGGAAATGGTTAGTTTATCTTAGTTGAATTTTGCTTCTCTCACTCTCTCTCTCTCTCTAAAATATTGGAAATTGTTTATTTTAACTCGAAGATGAATTATTAATTAATTAAACTCATTGCCTGATCCATAGCTAATTCAACTTAGGGTCGATTGTAAAGGTGCAAAAGACAAACCTATTTCATGTAAGTTGAAAACAAAACCATATGAATTCAATTTCCACTCAATTGGTCAAAAATATGTTTTAAGTGTTTGTATCTTGGAATTCGAACTCCATTTTCACTTTCGAATCAAACAATCAAAGTAGAAAATAAATTCTCCGGATGTGACATTTTCCATGAAATTTAATCCTATCAAACGAACTAGTTTTATCTTTCTATATTTTCAGTTTCTTAACTTATTTAAGTCTGCATATGATTTTAGTTAAGCAAAAGTATTTACACGATATTCTCCTACTTATTTATGTCCCTATATGATTTTAGTTGAGGTTAGTTGAATTTTTTAACGTGAATGGATTTTTGATAAATTTGAGGTTTTGGAGATGGTGGATTAAAGATAGCGAAAATTGTGTCAATAGCTTGATAAAAAAATTTATTAATTAAACTTATCGATCGATAATTTAGTGAAACGTGTTCATTTCAGTATCATAAATGTTTTGCACATTTAGAAGGATGCACAAAAGAACATAAAATTTTACTTGCCTCTACTTTGAGGTGTGGATTGATAACGAGGTCAAGTTGAGTTACGATAAGCTATTTGCTCCTATCCAGGTATATATTATTTGACTTTGGCATTATTTGTTGTTTCTCTTATGTGATTGCAAGTTTTTTTATTATTTTGTATTTTATACAAGGTAAAGATGGAAGCTCAAGACATAGTAAACAAGTAGATTGGTAATTGGTGTAGAGTAAATTGATTTAAGAAGTATTCTACAACTTAGATGATAGGAATCAAGACCTAAATACAAATTCTTTGTTTTGTACATTTGCTGAACTTCAAGGACATAAAATTTGCATCACAACTGGTACACCAGCTAATTTTGAGGTCGATAAATTGGAGACAAGCTTACAAGATATGGGTTGTAAGAGTTCACGATTGGTTTATATTTATGATAGTTTGCCAAAATACATCCGTTCTGCTCAGCTGGCCAAATGTATGAAGCCTATTCAAGCTCAATTCGATATAGATTTGGTTCGTCAGGAATATATGTCCAATTGGAGGAAAAAAAATAGTTGCAAAGATATTTGCACGACATTTTTATCCATATATTAATAAACTTTTTGAAGTTACATCGTTTATTTAATTTTCAGGAGATGGATTTTTTAGTTATAAATGTTTGATTTTAAGTTAAATGTTGGTATGTATCTTTATAGCGTTGATGTATTTAACATCACTATCTTCATTCCAAAATATAGGTGAAAATCCAAAAATCGACACTTGTGCTTCTTGAGAGAGAGAGAGAGAGAGAGAGAGAGAGAGAGAGAGAGAGGTGCCATAAGTGGACTTAAGCATCCATGAGAACGTTATAAGTGTCATTACTTGAATTATAAGCGTCTATGAGAACGGTACAAGTGTCTTTACTGACTTATAAGCATCTATGAGAATGACCAAAGTGTTGTTATTGGACTTATATGCGTTCGTGGAATGACACTTATTGCATTACGGGATATGAAAAACGATTCTTGTGTTGTTACATGTGAAACTTATTTACATTATAAGATGCGTATGACCCATACAAAAATTGTGCTTTTACCAACTCAATACCATATAATTTATATCATTCCAACCCTTCTTTATGACACATTTAACCTTTCTATGTTACACACGTTAGGAATCCATTAAAAGAGGTCGTTCCATTAAAAAATTAAAATTAATTTTTTTTTATTTTAAATATAGGTTAAAAACTACAAAACGATGCAAGTGTCGTTACTGGACATGAAAATGGTCCTTTGTACCTTATGTGTATAAACACGAGTAATATAAGAAATCACCATTCATTCGTACCTCATGAACTGATAAGCGAAACTTTTTATATAATAAGATGCATATAACATGGAAAGGCCCGAATTTTTTTTTTAAAAATATAATCATTTTACTTTTTTGATAAATGAGGGATTAAAAAGAAACAATTTTTTTTAATTCTTATATTTTTATTTGTGTCAAATAATTAGATTTTGATAGAGCAAAAATAAACTTATCAATTTTGAATTCTTTTTATAGGTCGTAATCAATTAGAAGCTTTGACCCAAGAAAAAGTTAATTTGAATAAGGTAGTCCCAAGATATTGTAGTTCCAAAATGTATGTTTTTGTTACTAATGAAGTTGCTAATTTATTTTCCTTTTTGGTTGCCAAATAGGGTTAATTTCTACGTTAAACTATATTTAGTACAATCCAAATTTTACCATTGTAGTTGTAAGTGAATCTACTTTTGGTGAGATAAGCATTAATTATATATTTTATACCAATTCAATTACATCTGTCATAGTATGATTTGTTTTATCGAAATTCAATTCCTATCCAAATTTGGTACACATTTTTTTCCATCACAATTGTACTATGACTCAACTACTATTTTTTTTTTACAATAAATAGTTTACAATTGTTCCATAATTGTCAACTAAGAAATTTTATACAGCAGATAGTAGAGAGAGAGAGTCAATCTCGATTTTAATGACGCAGTCGAGAAAGTTGAAAAGATATTGGAATTCTTTCAAAAATTCATTTTATTTGACGAGGTAAGATACTTTTGTGCAAGAGTTTGTTTCCGTATACTTTTATGTTCAATAATTTATGTATGGATTGTTAGTGAACCTTCGACTTTGACCTAACGGAATGTGAGCTTTGTTGGGTTCTTTTAGAACGAAATGTGAAATCCTTTGGTAATTCAAAGTACTATTGATGGATTTGTCACTATCCATAAAAAAGTG